GATTAATTTTCTAGCAGAAAGGAGAGTTTAAAGATGGAAAATTGAGATTTATCTTACAGAGAGATGTGTGAGGGAATTTGTCTGTTTTAACCAGAACGTGCACGCTCCTTCGGAAATCAGCTTGTCCCAACAGTACACTTTTGGTGAAGGTCGACTTTTACCTTTTCTGAAGATAGATCAGTTCCGGCGTGGAGTCTCACTTCCAACCACTGTTCAGCGTCTCAGTGAGAACAGCTAAATACCTCGAGAGCCGTGCGAGGTTATCCAAACAGAAGTTATAATTCCCAAAATCGTCTCTGGTTCAGCTTGATTGGTTTAGCAGCATCCATGAATGCCTGCGTTTTGCATTCAGGAACTCCCAAACTCTCTGCATTCTGGATTCCAAAACTCCTGAACTCTTCTGCTCTCTCTTGAACTAGGAAGTGCCGATATTTAAATGGGCTCTACTTCCGGTTCGTTTGAGAGCCTCTGATTGGTCGATGGACCCCAACAGAGGTGTGGTTTGTGATGTAAGGTGTTATGGAAAGTCAAGGATAGAGATTAAGATTGTTTAAGAACAGACAGAAAGATTGTTGGAGAAAACCAGTCTTAGTGGCGTCTCTACTCAGGTATCTTGCTGTAAAAGTTAAACATGACATTTCTTTTCAGTAAACTTTTTAGTTGACCGAAACCTGAACTCTAACACACTTACAAATTTGCTCCCTTCAAAGCAGACGATCAAAAATTGAATCATTACTCTGTAACGTATTCTAACTTGATATCACTTTGAATTGAGGACTAAAAATCATTACTACTGTTTAAGTAAATAAAAATGAGTAGTTCACTTCAACATGTAAACATTGTTTGAACTAACACAATTTGATTATCAAACATTTGTAAAATAGTAATGATCATAGAGAATTGTCTTTTCCACTTGATTAATTCAAGAAAGAAAGTCTCAGGATGGGTCAAACTGTATTTCTGGATTCAAATCAATGAAATGACAGTTTCTGTCCATCTGGTCAGTTTTGACATCAGGCCTAGTCCACTACATACACGACGAGTCACTGTGCAAATTTAACAAGATAACCACCTAAAAACAATTATTTGTTTGTTCTACTTTATAGTAAAAGTGTGTCTCAGTCTAATGTTTGCTTAATAAAAGGACTTTGATGGTCAAATCAGCTGCACTGCAAGTATGTGCTGCCTCGGTGCTCCGGGAGCGCGAAGAGGGAGGAAATAAAGGAAGGAGGAACACTGCTTGTTTATTCAAAATTTAACAAGCAAAGCAACTAAAACAATTATTTGTTTGCTCGAAATTATAGCTAAGATGTGTCTCAGTTGAACGTTTACTTAATAAATACACTTTAATGGTCAAATTAGCTGCATTTTGCCAGGGCGGTGCAGCTGGTTTGACGGTTGCTCCAAGCAGCAAGCAGAACGAAGGTGGAACACTAATGCAAGTCGATTGTGTCATTAATAGCTGGTGAAGATTCTCAGTCATCCAGGGCATTGTAAATTCAAAAAAGTTCAAGACAAAAACAATCAATTATAAAGTGAAGTATAATAAATAAAGTCCAGTTGTTTTTGTCTTGAACTTTTTTGAATTTGTCATTACAGCCACGTTTACCTATTACATGATACAACGGCATGCCTAACTGCTACTACTGCTCTGCTGCCATCTAGTGGCTAAAATAGGCACTGTTAAAAAAATGTTTCAGTCAGAATGAATGAAAACCGTCATGTCACAGCCAAAAATTGGTTTATAAATATGGGAAAAAAATCCATAAATACGTCGCTTGGGCCTATAAGTCGCAGGGCATGCAAATTATGCAAAAAACTGCAACTTATAGGCCGAAAAATAGGGTATGCACCCAGGGAGCAGCAGGGATTAGGTGTCTTGCTCAAGGATGATCCACAACATAAAGGCAAACCCAGGACTTTGTGGTTCCAAGTAACCTACTCTATCATTGTGCCATGGCTACAGACTTTGCTTAAAGCTGGGTTTGTGGCAGAAAATTAACCAGTTTACATTAACTCTGCCAATTCTGCAAAGAAGAGTGGTCATAAACAAAAGCAGAAGTATAACAAAAGCTTGCTGATGGTTATAAACAGTGTCTAGTTATAGTGACACTTCCTAAGAAATATTCTAGCAAATCTTAGTGTATGGGAGTGATGTATATATTTAAACCTGTATGTATAGTTGTGATCCTGTGTGGAAAATCAACACTAAATTTAAAATTGTGCACCAAATTTTGTAAAAAAAAAACAAAAAACAAAACAAAAAAAAACCTTTGATGTTTTGATGTTCTATAATCATTACACTCTGGAAAAAGAACGGTTCAAATCCATCTATGAAAGTCCTGAATTATTGACACTCATGCCTGTAATGAGTAAATATAAACCTTTGACAGAACCACATCGTGCAAACTGAATATAAGAGACTGAACCATATTATGCTTTTTCAAATAGCATTCTGTTGTTACACATTGAAAACAGTGACGCATGGTTCTCTTCTGCTGCGAGCTCACAGACACATCAACTTTGACCCATCGATTATCCAAACTGTCGAGTTCCTATTTTTGTCAAGAAAGTTTATAAAATTTCAAATAAATAGGGAGGAATTGTTAACCATAGGTCTACGATGGGTTGTTACTAGAGCCCAACTGATATATCGATAGGGCCGGTATTTGAGACAGGTAGGTGTTTGGGGACCTATCATGTTAGTGATAATTGACCCATTATATGCCAGTATAAACACTGAGAACAAGCCATGTCCTTACTGGCAAAAGGCGTAATGTTACAATGTATCCAGCAGAGGGCACATATGGACTAGTTTCAAGTCATGGCCGTTCACTTTTAGCAATACTGTGTAGAATATTTTGCTGAACAGAGCATGGTAAGTTTATTTTAACTGATCTGTAAAATAAAAAAATCAACAATAATTCCTTTCAATCCTCCAACCCGCTTGTCATTAGCTACATGCCTTTCAAGTTAGCAAGCTAACGTTTAGATAACCTAGCATGGGCTATTTCCTTGTAAAACTATCCAGAACAATAAATTTAACGTAGAAGTAAAATACCGGTATCAGTGTTAGTAACGTTATTGTTGTTGTTCTCAATGAAATGTTTGCCTGAAATCTTTACTTCTCTGCAAAAAAAAAAAAAAACACAGCTGCAGTCAAGACTAATTAGGCCTTCACCATACATGACTGACTGTTTCAACAATGAACACGGAAGGGCATGTCTTTGTTTAATTTATATTTTTGTAACACATTTAGTAGCTTTATGGTGACTAGTGGAGGGTCAAAAATGTAAACGCACGTTAGGAAGATTGTTTCAAGACTTCCAAGTGTTAAAACAGCTTTAAAAGTATCTGTTTATTGTTTATTTTATTTCATTGAACTCTTTACTTAGATTATTGGTGGTGAACAAAGCTTAAAGATTTTCAGCCATTATATCGGTTATCTGCATTAGCCTTTCCCTTCAAATATCGGTATTGGTGATAGCCGACATTTCTATATTGGTCAGTAGGGCTGGGCCATATCCTATGCTCATTGGGATTAACCTGTCTAAATAAACGTTGAATGCATGATGAAAAACATCATTCACAATAATACCGGTAAAAAAAAAAAAAACTTTCCCGGGAAAATAAATTATATCATGATATGCTAATTTCATGACATAAATACGACATTCCACCAGCAGCAGATTACGCTGTGATATTCAAGTTGTAAAGGTGAAGGCATGAACGGAGACATCTGCGCTGTGCTCTGTTTTAGAGCGAGAGGGACACAGACACATCTGAGCTGAGCGCTGCTTGTCCCGACACTTTTTGAGCCGGTCAGCGTGAGGGAAGACATTGCCTTTAGCTTTTTAGCTAGCGCGCTGCTACCTTGGAGTTACATCAGTGCAGTCGGGCGGGGTGGGGGTGGGGGTGGGTGGTCCTTACCTGAGTCTGACTGTGCTCTATATTAGACATGTTCTTGTTTTTAGTTTTCTACAACGCCTTATATAATATAGCTGTTTTTTTCACTACTTTTTTCTTTTGACTGTCCTTTTGATTGCCATTTTATTTTTATTTTAATTTGTACAAAAACTAAATTTGTATGCCTCTTTTATGATTGTCTATTGTTGTCGTCATTGTCCACTGTTGTCATCACTGATTAGTCTCTTTAGAATGATTTGTCCAATTATCTTTGTAGAGATCTAGTAGAGTGCTGTATGAATGGGTAAATGAGGGCACAGATTGTAGTGTAAAGAGCTTTGAGTAGCTTGAAACAAGATAGAAAGGCGCTATATAAGCACAGTCCATTTACCATTTACTCTTTATTAAAAAAATCAGGTCTCTCTTGTAAATGAGTCCCCGAGGCTAAATGGGATTAACCTGTCTAAATAAAGGTTGAATGAATTAACAGCAACTGGGAACTGTGCAGCTCAAACCTCGAGAGCAGCTGCTTTCCTGAGGATCAGGAAATTGGCTGATGGCTGTTCTGATCAGATGTCCTTTCAGGAAGCATTTCAAGCGTTTGTCACAAGTTTTGGAAGTTATAGCTCATATAAAGACAACATATATTTTGTTGTAGTTTACATTTATGCTCAACAGATTTTAAACTTTAATTTTATTTAGTTTATTTGGGAATGGCACCTGCACTTTAGTTTTTGTGGTGGATTTTTTTCTGTTCTATATTTTGTGCAGACATGTTCAATCTAAATAACAGAAGGATCATTTGTATTTTTTTATTTTTATACTTTGAGAATGAATACTTTACTAAATAAAGTAATTACAATAAAATTATCCCTTGTTTTTTTTTTTTGGTTTGTTTTTATATAATACTTACTGCAAAGCAACAAGTTAATTTTGTCAAATGAATAACAATGATTTCTGTCTTTTTTTTTTGTTATATCACAGAATTTATCGTTATCGTCAGAATGCTCTGAAATATCACAATATTATATTTGAACCATATCGCCCACCCCCATTGGTTGGGCTCTAGTTATTACTGAAATTGCAACGCTTACAGTGAAGACATCATCATCACCCAGTTCGCTCTCATTCTGGAGTGCTGTGGAGGAGGTCGTGGAGCCTGTGGAGAGGAAAAAAGAAACCCTGGTGAAGTAAACAGCTTTGTAGTCTAATTTACAAAACACACGTATCTCAAGTCAGGAACTGAACTCTGTTTTTGACGTTCCAAAGTTTTTCAGATCACACCTGCAACAAAATGTAATAACTTTCTGGTCTATCTGTTTCTGTATGAAAACTTCACCATCCGGTCACTTATCAAAACTTGAGAAAAGGCATAATTACTGTTTTAGTCATAATAATCACCTCAGGACTAAGTTTATCTTGATATTATTTGGATATTAACATTTTCAGCTCAGCGTACCTTCAGCCAAGTCATCTAGGGCTTTCCGTACCCCCCTGTCAAAAGCTCTAGCATCAGCTGGACTCTGGAAGGACAAACCACACCTCCTGTCCTCCACCCTCCAGTGGTGAAATGTTGGCATTGCAATGGTGTAGACCAGGTCCTTTCTGAGAGGACAGTCCAGAATCACCTGGGCCAACCAAAACAGGAAGTTATTTCTGACCAAGACTCGATCATGTGTTATATCCGGTTTAAGGGAGTTATACCTGTTTGTCAAGCAGCCGCTCTCCCCGGATGAGGAACTGGGACTTGGCAGAGCTTGAAATGGGGGTAAGGTCTGTCGGTAGGAGGTGGCACACCCCCACCCTGCTCAGGGCTCCCCCGTCCTGAGCCAGCCAGCCTCCGCTCGAGTCGTCCCGCGTCATTACCACGGCTTTCACACGCACGATGTAGCTGTCACTAGACAGAGAGCAGAAAATACAAGAATATTAAAGAACGTCCGTGCTGTTTTTACTGTAAGCAGATCAATACAAACTTTACAGGATACTCCATCTTTTTAAAGTTTACAGAAGCAACAACTTTGATCATAAGTAAACTTCAATTTCGCCATTGTATGTGAACATACAGTGTTGACAACACGACCCTTTACTTATTGACAACAAAAAAATCCTTCCTGCCAAAGCCTTGAACTGAAAAAAATAGGAGTGCACCGATACTTGCACGAGAAACAGATTTTTGTAGTTTGAACAACAATTGTCTGAACTTCATTTATATTTCAGAGCTCTGCCTCATGAACAGTTAAAACAAGTTTGTATTGTTCTAGGATATTGTTCAAGGGTATGTTTTCAATAAAATAAGATTTGAAAATTGAAGGTGATTTGTGACTTTATAACTCCTGACAGTGTTAATTATAAAACAAAATCGTATTGGCCAAAATTGGAATCGGCAGGTCAGACTTTTTAGAAATCAGTGATCGGCGAGAAAACTGCAATCGGTGCACCTCTAATCATTAATGGTTGCAAATTCAAGTTTTTGTACAGGTTTTAACAATGTAACCCATTAGTGTAAAAAAAAAATCAGCTTTTTCAGTTTTCTGTTAGTCACAACTATTTTTACTATTAGATACATTATAAGCATTAGGGTATTAGTATTATTGCTATAAACATATTTATCCTGATATGTGGTAAAATTTTAGATTTTTAAACTGAGAAAAAGCTAAATGTTTGTGTCCTGTGTTGTAGTTTGTCAAGAAGCAACTGTAACTCCTTTTCAGACGGATTTTATTTGTATAAATGGCTGTCAGGAAACATGTAGCTCTTTAATTTTATTTTTCTAATGCTAGAAAGACAAAACCCTGTCAGTTCTTATTTTGCCCAAATATTGAAAAATAAATGTTTTGTATGCTGTCAATTACATTTCTAGAAAAAAAAATCTGCCAAAATTCAGAGTCATGCGAGAGCTTTATCACTTGTGAATAGGCCTGTTGGGCTGAGTGGTTAGAGCAGTCGTCCTCCAATGCAAGAGTTGGGGGTTTGAATCCACCAGCAGTCACATGCCTAAGTGTCCCTGGGCAAGACACTGAACCCCTCATATGCCCCTTTTCCATTAGTACCGGTACGGGCCGACTGGACCCTACTTGGCCCGGTTCTGAGGCTTTTCCATTAGTACCGGTACTTAGCACCTGTTACTATTTTCAGTATCCTTGGCTCTGTGATTCTAACCGGAACGAAGAGGTACTAAAACGTGACGTCAGAACACTGTCGGTCACCGATTGGTCGGGGGCGGAGTCACTGGATCCTTCAGAAACTTTTCAAAACAATAATTCGCCATTTGCAATTTCTCGGACTGGAGCAGCGGCTGGACTTATTTTAAAGATTTTAAAAACAATACTGACAACATCTTGGTCTAATGCTGATGTGCTGGCATTTTTTGTGCTTGGTGGCCGACAACATAATTCAGAGCAAGCTGGATGGAGCTCTGCTGGTGTACCCGGATCCTCCCTCCGGAGCCTTGGAGCACCAGGCCGGGGCGTCATCTCTCCAGCTCCAAGTTCAGCTGGTCACCGCGGAAGATCCTTCAATGTGCCGACTCGGAGGCTCGGGTCCTGGATACCAGCCTTGTGTGCTCAGAGCTCCGCTGGTCACTGCGAAGCTGGAGATGGGGACTCGCAGAAGGCCGAATCCCGATCCCACCCGGCAGTCAGGCGGACTGGACAGTCTGGGACGGACGGTGGAAGCGATTTTTAAATAAAATAATATTGTTTTTATACAAAAAATGTTTTAAAAAATTGCTGAAGCTATTTAAAAATAATAATTATTATTTTTTACACGTAAAATGTTTTTTAAAATCGCTTCCACCGTTCGTCGCAGACCCGTCTCTGTCCGCCTGTCTGCGCGGGTCGAGCCTTCATGATTACGCACGGCTGGGGTCTTGGAACGGCCTCTGCGAGTCACCAGCTGAGCTGGAGCTGGGAAGATGAGCCTGCCCATCCTGGCTCCGGAGGAGAGGATCGTGTGAGACCAGCAGATTGAAGATTAAAAATAAATAAATAAATAAACGGTGCCAGCTTCATCATGAAATCCGGTTTTCACTTTAATGACTGTTAACTCAGCTGAAAATCATAAAAAGACACAAAACTATTGGATCTCAGGAATATTTCCCTCAAACATGTTTAAAGAAAAGAGACGACCTTCAGTTCAACTTTATTTTAACCCACAAATGTACAAATCACAAAACAAGAACTTTAAAGCAAAGCTAAAAATAAAATGGATATATGTGAACAAGAAAGAAACCCACACATCTAAAATGAATATTAAAAGTAGACAATGAGTGCAAATACATCAAATGATGATGAAAACCTATAAAAATTTAAATCTAATGTTTTTGTAGAATCTGGTTCATCAGAGTTTTAATTTATATACATATATATTTATATCTCTAAATATATATATATATAAATACATATATATGTATATAAATATATATGAATATATATAAATACATATATGTATATAAATACATATGTATATATATATATATATATACATATATATATACATAACTGTGTGTATATACATATGTGTGATATGTATATATATATCACATATGATATATATATATGTGTGTATATATATATATATATATATATATATATATATATATATATACACACACACACATATCTATATATACACATATGTTTGTAAATCAATTCAAAAATACTTTATTAATCCCAGAGGGAAATTATTTGTTGATGTAACTCGTTATCCTCATTTCATTAAGAGACGTTATAGATGCTGATGGCTGTAGACAGGATGGATCTCTTGAAAAGGTCCATCCCACAGTGGATCCTAAGAAACTTGTTGCAGATGCCGTCCGATCCGTCCACCCAGACTCGGCTGGCCTCTCGGTTCCCCCGGGCTGTAGGACCACCTGAATGCTGGGCAGAACTCCTCCCAGAGTGATGGCCACTCCTCCCAGTAGTCTGCCAAGCTCCTCGTCACTGCGGACAGACAACTGTAGGTGCCGAGGGACGATCCCGTCCTTCCGCTGTCATGAGCCAAGTTTCCTGCTAGTTCCAGGATCTCAGTGGTCAGGTACTCGAGCACAGCTAGCAGGTAGATGAGAATGCGTCCACAGAACATCCTTTTCAACTCATTTGAGATTTGGGGCTTTAGTTGAGATATTATTTGAGCTTTTGAGATGTTAATCAGCTGTTGTTGGTTGTAGAAACTGCCTTGTTGCCATGGTTACGCATCATAACAAATGTCCAAAACTAAAAAAAGTTTCAGTAAAAATCCTTCCAGCTGCACAGCATCTGATACCAGAGGAAACAATCATCCAAAAAATGTGATTTACATCCAGAAAAAGATGAATTAGTTTCCAAAAGCAAAATCTCAGAATGAAAGTAACAGAGATGCTCCAACATGCAGCCACCTTGAGCGGCGCAATTATATATATATATATATATATATATATATATATATATATATATATATACATACACATTTATATATATACACATTTATATATATATATACAGTGAGGAAAATAAGTATTTGAACACCCTGCGACTTTGCAAGTTCTCCCACTTAGAAATCATGGAGGGGTCTGAAATTTTTATCTTAGGTGCATGTCCACTGTGAGAGACATAATCTATAAAAAAAAAAATCGGAAATCACAATGTAGCTTTTTGAGGTCGGTAGCTGCATAAAGACACCGGTCCACCCCACACAATCAGTAAGACTCCAACTACTAACATGGCTAAGACCAAAGAGCTGTCCAAAGACACCAGACACAAAATTGTAGACCTCCACAAGGTGGTAAAGGGCTACGGGACAATTGCCAAGCAGCTTGGTGAAAAAAGATCAACTGTTGGAGCAATTTTTAGAAAATGGAAGAAGCTAAACACGACTGTCAATCTCCCTCGGACTGGGGCTCCATGCAAGATCTCACCTCGTGGCGTATCAATGATCCTAAGAAAGGTGAAGAATCAGCCCAGAACTACACAGGAGGAGCTGGTCCATGACCTGAAGAGAGCTGGCACCACTGGTTCCAAGGTTACTGAGGGTAATACACTAAGACGTCATAGTTTAAAATCATGCATGGCACGAAGGTTCCCCTGGTTAAATCAGCACACGCCCAGGCCCGTCTGAAGTTTGACCATGACCATTTGGATGATCCAGAGGAGTCATGGGAGAAAGTTCTGTGGTCAGATGAGACCAAAATAGAACTTTTTGGTCTTAATTCCACTCGCCGTGTTTGGAGGATGAAGAATGATAAGTAACATCCCAAAAACACCATCACTACTGTGAAGCATGGGGGTGGAAGCATCATGCTTTGGGGGTGTTTTTCTGCACATGGGACAGGACGACTGCACTGTAATAAGGACAGGATGATCGGGGCCATGTATTGAGAGATTTTGGGAAACAACCTCCTTCCCTCAGTGAGAGCATTGAAGATGGGTCGTTGCTGGGTCTTCCAACATGACAATGACCTGAAGCTCACAGCCAGGAGAACCAAGGAGTGGCTCCGTAAGAAGCATATCAAGGTTCTGGAATGAACTAGCCAGTCTCCAGACCTAAACCCTATAGAAAATCTTTGGATGGAGCTCAAACTCCGTGTTTCTCAGTGACAGCCCAGAAACCTGGCTGATCTAGAGAAGATCTGTGGAGGAATGGTCCAAAATCCTGTTGCAGTGTGTGCAGACCTGGTGAAAAACTACAGGAAACATTTGACCTCTGTAACTGTAAAACAAAGACTACTGTAACAAATATTAACATTGATGTTCACAGGTGTTCAAATACTTATTTGCAGCAGTAACACACAAATAAATTATTTTAAAAATCATACATTGAGATTTATGGATTTTTATTTTAGATTATGTCTCTCACAGTGGACATGCACATAAGATGAACATTTCAGACCCCTCCATGATTTCTAAGTGGGAGAACTTGCAA